CACTCTCCCTCTGCCCCTCCACCCTGCTTGTGTTCTCTCTCTCTTGTGAGCTCTCTCTCTCTCAAATAAATAAAACCTTTTAAAAAAAAAAGAATTGGAAGAAAAACAGAATTTTGGCAGAAAAAAGGAACTATAATAATTACTTTGTATGTTTGAAAAAGAACCAAAGAAGCCAAAATTTAAAAAACACAATAGCTAAAATTTTGAACTCAGATGTGTTTAACAATAAGTTAAAGCTAAAGAGAGAATTAGAGAACTGGAAGTAAAAGAATATATATATATATATATATATATAGGATGAAACACAGTGGGAAAGCAAAAATAAGAATAGGTAGGAGACACTGAATACAGTGAGAACTTATAATATATATAGATACTTATAACCCCAGGAGAGAAACATATGGGAAAAAAGCAATATTTGAAGATACAGTAACTAAGAGTTTTTCAAAGCTGATGAAAGAATTAGTTAATTGATTCAGACATTCAGTTAGTCCTAAAGTACACTAAATTAAAGAAATATGCCCACAGATACTTCACTGCAAAACTGTAGGATACAAAAAAAAAAAAAAAAAAAAAAACAAGAGCAGCCAAAAAAGGAGAAAGAATAGAATTTTCCTTAAAGCTGACTTCTTAAAAACAATGAAACCACAAGAAAATGAGTTAATATTTTAATTGTGCAGAAAGAAAATTACTACCAATGTAAAATTCCATACTAAGTGAAAATAAGAATTCAAGTAAAATTAAATTTTTTTATACAATTGTAAACAGAGAATTCATTACAGAAACACACTCTAAGAAGAATACACACACTCACAAACACACACATACAGGTACATATTAACACATATTCACATATATTGACATGTGTATGAATGATAGATACGGATGAAAGGTAGATAGATTTAATGTGCTATAAGGTCTTTGCATTGTCTAGGAAAGGGATAAAGCACTAATTAATATTGGACTTTAAAATCAAATATGTATTTAATCACCTCCAGTATAACCACTATAAAAGCACAACAACGTATAATTTCCAAATACATAGGGAACAAAATGGAACAATATAAGCAAATCTAATATAAACTAATAAACCTATACAAAGGAAATGAGAGAAGCAAAAAGAGAACATAAAACAGGTGTAAGAAATAGTAAGTGTATACGCACCAAAAAAATAATGATAACCAAAAAGAGATTACTTATTACATTAAATATAGGTGAACTAGAAACTCCAATTAAAAAAAAATATTAAAAGATTATAATAAAAGGGGTGTCTGGATGGCACAGTTGGTTAAGCATCTAACCCTTGGTTTAACTCAGGTTGTAATCTCAGGGTCATGAGTTTAAGGTCGCATGTCAACCTCCTGGCTCAGCATGGAGTCTGCTTAGGATTCTCTCTCTCCCCTCTCCCTTTCCCTCTGTTCAACCCCACTTGTGCTCTCTCACTCTGTAAAAGAAATAAATCTTAAGAAGAAGAAAATATTATAATAAGAAGAGAACCCACATGTTTGCCTCTTACAGGAGATGCATATAAAATATAATGGTACATAAAGTTTAGTAAAAAATAAAAGGATGACAACTTAAAATTCAATATGTGAAAAATAACAAATATTAAAGCTGAAATAGCTGTATTAATTCAAACTCAGTAAACTTAAGGGCAACAGGCATTAAAAATAATAAAGGAAAATGCATTGTTAGAATGAAGTGTTCAATTTATCAGTAGGATAAAATACTTCTAAATATGTATGCAACTAATATAATGATTTTAAAATACATTAAACAATATTGATTTAACTATAAGGAGAAATCAGCAAATCCACAGTAACTGTAGAAATTTTTAATACAGCTTTCTCAATAACATAGAAAAAATAGGAAAAAATATTGAATATGAAAGATTTGAAGAGAGCAATTAAAAAATTTGACCTGATAGATATAGATGAAATGTACCTCACAAACATAGAATACAAATTCTTTCCAAGGATATCTGAAATATTTACAAAAATTGATCGAAGTCAATATCAATATATTTCTACTTATTAAAATTATACAGAAAATATCTGATCACAATGGAATTAAGTTAGAAATCAATAATGTTCCTATGATTTGGGGAAACTAAGAAATGAAACACTTTAGAGCCCATGGGTCAAGGAACAAATTATAAGAAAATTTAAAAATATTTTGAATTCAATAATAGCTAAAAATACATTTCAAAGTTAAGAGAATCAGCTAAAGCTGTATTTATTAGGCAATTTATAACTTTAATTTCATACTTGGGAAAAGGGATAGGACTAAGAATTTATAAATTCTGAATCCAACTCAAAATGCTAGAAAAGTGATACAAAATTAAGAATAGAAAAAAATAAGGACACCAATTATATGAAATAAACACCAACACACCAAAAAAAGAATTGGCAGATAAGAAGGTGGTTCTTTAAAAAGAGTAATAAAACTAATAAACCCCTAAAGAGAATAATAAAGAAAATAAGAAATAAGACAAATATTTTTAAATCAATTTCAGGAAGAGAAAAGTAAGCTCCATTAAAGATTCTACAGACATTAGGGGTACCAGGGTGGCTCAGTTGGTTATGCTTCTGCCTTAGGCTCAGGTCATGATCTTGGGGTCCTGGGATCCAGTCCTGCATCAGGCTCCCTGCTCAGCAGGGAGTCTGCTTGCCCCTCTACTCCTCCCCCTTCTTGTTTTCTCTCTCTCTCTTTCTCTCGGTCTGTCTCTCTTTCAAATAAATAAATATAATCTTTAAAAAAAATTAAAAAATAAAGATTCTACAGACATTAAATATATAATGTAATATGTATTATAAAAAAGATCATCATGCCAAAAAAGCATAAATTTACTAAGATGTAAAGAGTCATAATTTTTAAAGATACTGAATCCATTATTTGAAACCTTCATACAAAAAAAAAAAAAAAAAAGCCCTGAAAAAAAACAAAAACAAAAATGCCCCACTAGCCTCAAGGGTGAATTCTACCAATCATTTAACATTCATCCAATTAGAATATCAAGATACCTTAAAGATATTTTGAGAAAACTTATTGGTCAACCTCATTCAAAAACAGATACAAAAATCCTAACGAACTGCAAAATAATTCAGAAATATATAAAAGGGACAACAAAGATAGATTTCCTTCAGGAATAAAGATTGGATTAATGTTTAAAAATTCCTCATTATTGGGGCACCTGGGTGGCTCAGTGGGTTAAAGCCTCTGCCTTTGGCTCAGGTCATGATCCCAGGACCCTGGGATCGAGCCCCGCATTGGGCTCTCTGCTCAGTGGGGAGCCTGCTTCCTCCTCTCCCTCTCTGCTGCCTCTCTGCCTACTTGTGATCTGTCTGTCAAATAAATAAATAAAAATCTTAAAAAAAAAATTCCTCATTATTGTATGTCACATTGACAAAAGAAAAAAATCATATAATCATCTCAATAGATGCAGATAAGGCATTAGGCAAAATTCAACCTTCATTTATGTTTATAACTCTTAGCAAACTAGGAAGAGAAAGAAATTGCTTAACGTAAGAAAGAATAACTACAGGAAGTCTGTAATATTGAATGTTGCTTTCACTTAGCGGTGAAAGTTGAAAACTTTTCCTTTGAAATCAGGTTCAAGACAAGTATGCCTGCTATGACCACTTCTATTCAACCTTACACTGAAAAAAATAAAATAAAAGCAAGAAATAGAGGTGTAAGAATTGGAAATGATAAATAAATGACATTATTGGCAAAAGGATTTGGTTATATAAAAAGAAAATCAGAATTTTCAGAAAAGAAAATCATAAATTCAGAAAAGCAGTAAGATTTAGTGATCCACATACAAACATAAAGCAGAAAATAAAATTAAAAAAGATACTAATTATAGTAGCAAAAAATATTAAAATAAAATACATAAGTTTTCTACGTAGACCTCTACAAAATGTTGTAAGAAATGCCAGAGAGCTTATATAAATTGAGATGTAACATTTTAATTGACCAAAAGACTTAATATTAAAAAATAAATCTCCCCAAATTAAACCATAGGATCAACGTAATCACAATGAGAATTGCAATGGATTTTTGGTTTTGTTTTTGTGGAACTTAACACGCTGTTTCTATAATTTATATGAGGATGCAGAAGATCAAGAAGAGTAATGACTATCTATTTTCAAATGCTTTGTGCTCTGAAAAATTACTGAAGACCACAGAGTAAAATTTGTAAGATGTATTGATGTTTACAATATAAGATATTAAAACTGGGAACACTTTAAAATATTTATAATTAATTTTTAAATAACAACAGTGAATACATTATATTTTAACATAACATAAAGAACATCTTTCAACTATAAAAATATTTAATTTTCCAAATCAAAAATAATCAGTAACAACAGTGGCCCTGTTTTGAATATTTAGTAACTTCTGTTGCTTACTCACATTGTCTTCAGAATTAGAATCTGTTACATATTCTATTTGGTTGAAGTATGTGAAGAAAATCCAATCTCACACTTGTAAGTGGATAGAAAAGGTAGAATCATATGCTTTCTGAAAAATCTTGGGGACCACATGGGCCTTGGGAAGCAATGGCCAAGAAAATGAACAGTGACGACCTGGTCTATTTATTATGAAGGACAACAGTATGGTGGTGGTAGAAATAGAAAAAAATACACCAATGGCATGATATAAAGATCCTAAAAATATACATAGATGTTTCATTGGTAGATGATATAACTGTCATTATGGGAGAAGGATGATCTTTTCAATAAATGATACTGGGATAATTGGATACCATGTCAGAAGAAAACAAAGCTTTACTCCTCCTTTGTACCATATCATAAAATCAATTTCAATTGGATTTTAAACTAAAATGATCAAACTTTAAGAAGTGTAGAGAAGAATATTACAAAATTCTCAGGGAAGGGAAAGGTTTTATTTTTATTTTTAATAGAAAACCAAAAACACTAACCATAAGGTGAAGACATATATATATATATATATATATTTTTTTTTTTTTTTCAGCACAAATCTATTTAATGGAGGTGGGCAGCAGATGTTCCACTATGATTAATTAGTCCAGGGGCCTGTTAACATTAGGTACAGAAGAAGCCACCATCATTCTTTCGGGAGTTGCCTCCATTGGTGGCTGCAGTGTGAGGGGACACTATGGATCCCTGGATGCTGTGGATAGACTCCTTCTTAGGGTTGATCCAGTATCTGATGTTAGACCGGGAAGTGATGGAAGGTGGTGGAGGAGGGGGTAAAAGTTCTCCAGGGAATTGGGTCTTGGTGATTCCATGGGTATCCTGGGTAGTCTCCTGGTGTAAGAGTATCTCACTTTTGTTCTTGAATGTCCCTGTGTGGTGGTTGTACAAGGCTGCTAAGTGGAAATCCAGGTCATCCTTTGGTATCTCAGGATCAAAAAAATAAACATCCTGCCTCATGGAGGTGATTGTGGGAGTTGAGCTGAGCCGACTCCAGGGTTCCTGTTGCTGAGCAAGATGAGCTGGGTTCTTATCTGGCAGTTTCTTGGAGGCCCGGAGTTTTCCCAGGTAGGTCTCATCGTTATCCAACGTAGGGTGCTGGAAAGGGTCTCGGGTGAAAGGTATGGTAAAATGCAGAGTGAGAAGCTGGTGTCAAGACTTATATTTTTGACTGCATTAAAATTAAATTATTTTTCTCTAAAGGTATCAGGAGAGTTGAAAGGCAAGTCATAGAATGGAGATGGTGTTTGCAATGCAAAGAACCAACAAAGGAGGTATAAGTGCAGAATATAGCACACACAGTAGGAGATACTCAAATGGTCTATGGTAATAGGAAAAGCTGGTCTTCCTTAATCATCAGGAAAATGCAAATCAAAACCATAATGATATTGTCATTACACATCTACCAGATTATGTTAAATTAAAAAAGAATGACAAAAGAGGAACTCTCATAAAATTTGGCATTCTCTACTAAAGGTGGGCTCACCCTCTGTGACTCAGGAAGTTCATTCCTATGTACAGACTCAACCGAAATTCATTCACATGCACCAAGAGACAGATAAAAGAATATTCACAGCAGCCTCATTATTAACGACCAAAACCTAGACTCATCCTAAATGTCCATGCAGTTGATTGGATAATTTAACTAGTGTTCACTAGAACACTGTAACAGCATGAGAGCCCAAAGACAATAGTTCTAGAAAAACATGGATGATATCTCACAAACATAATGCAGAACAAAGAAACCATACACAAAAAGAACACTAACTAGGTGAATCAGTTTACATACCCAATTTTTCTTTATATGTGTTATTTTTTCCAGTAAAAGTTGTTTTTTTTAAAAAGGCTAACATTGGGGCACCGGGGTGGCTCAGTGGGTTAAGCCTCTGCCTTCAGCTCGGGTCATGATCTGAGGGTCCTGGGATTGAGCCCCGCGTCGGGCTCGCTACTCGGCGGGGAGTCTGCTTCCTCCTCTCTCTCTGCCTGACTCTCTGCCTACTTGTGATCTCTCTCTCTCTGTCAACTAAATAAATAAAATCTTAAAAAAAAAAGGCTAACATTGTTATGCAATGACGTTTATAACCACACATGTACCAGAAGCTTTTCAAAGTGCTTAATGTGCATTATCTCAGTCACTCTTGAAAACGATCCCTATTTTATAGATGAATAATCAGATTAAATAACATACCATAATTGTAAGTGATAGATCCAAAACCAAATACAGTTCTGAATTCAGAGCTTGAGGAGTAGTCTGTTGCATATGCATTACCTCATTTAATCTTGTAAATTTGCAAAGAAGAAGCTCTTATTTCTAAATTGTATGAGAAGAATGAGCCCTGAAGAAGTTAAATCATATGCCCTGGGGTCGCAGAACAAGGAGAAACCCATTGCCCTGTCTTCTTTGAGTAAAACAACAGGTACCTTTTTATTTTTTACTCTATACAAATGCACTGAAATAAATTACCACGTTTGCTTATACTAAGTAATTGGGTGAATAAAACATGCTATCCTGAGCCATATGACTTATTTATTCCAAAATGTAAAGTGATTCCCTGTTTCCTAAATAAGAATTGAGAAGTAACATGCATTTGTTTCTGGCTTTCCATTGTAGTATGTGACTAATGATTTTGCTTTTGTGACACTGGACCCCTGGGGCCTAAGCAGGACTAGTCCTGATAATTAGAAAACCAATTTGAAAGAAAAGTGCAAAACAGCTAACCAGACAGAGAAACAGTCAATGTTACCTCTGGGATAATTCCTTTGTGTTCTTAGTGTCTTTATCACAAACTGTAAGTATGATGTCATAAGAAATCATGCCAGAGGATCCAAGGAGAAGAGAAGGAGCTAGTCTGAGAGACATAGAGAAAGAGAGAGAAAAGGGGTAATAAAGAGAAAAAGAAATGAAGGGAACAAATTAAGGCCAAGGAGGGAACAAAATTTTAAAATAGAATTTCCATTTATTGATACACTGGAAAGAAGAAAGTAAGGAAAGGAGGGAGGGAGGGAGAGAAGATGGAGGGGAGAGAAGGAGGGAGAACCAGAGGGAGACAGAGAGGAGGAAGAGAGGGAAAGAAGGAGGGCGGGAGGGTGAAGGGGAGGAGGGAAAGAAAAAGGGGAAGAAGGTAGGGGGAAGATCCCTTACCCCTAGGGAAAAAAGAAACAGAGAAAGGGGTGATGATAGCAACTTCCATCCTGAATTCTGCCACTTTGTAGAATCAGATCACATCCTCAGTGACTCCCAGCACTTAATCACCATTCCCTTCCAACTTTCTCCGCCTGAATTGAAAAATGCCATCCTACATTCAGCATGATGTTACAAAAAAAATGACTTCTTCCAGGAATTTGCCTTGTAATTTGGTGATGTACAATTGCCCACCCAGCAAAATAATGTGATGCCTCTTAGTGACCTAAAGCCTTCAAAGTACCATTCACTTGATTCCCTGCCTTGAAAATAAGTGGTTTGTCACCAAATTTATTATTTCAGAAGGGCCTAACTAACTACCACTATTTGTGTGACTATTGCACATAGTAGTACTGGTAATATTGACAGCAAATACTTGGCATCAACTTTAAAAACACGATGATTTTTGCCCAGCATCTCTTATCATCTTCCTTTTGAGCTCCTTTAACTGCTGACAATCTTTTAATGTGCCATTTCAGCCGAAGGAGAGTCTCAATCTTAACCATCAATTTTATGCAGAATCCTATTCAAAGAAATACCACCACTGGCATTTGTCTTGTTTTCAAACTCCATCCTGTGTGATTTATAAATCTCCATTCCCAATGGGGAAAAATGAAATTCATATCTTATATTTTTATGAGGCAATACAGAAAGTTCAGCTGTTCTCTGAAACTGGTAGAACGGCAGAAATATCTTTGTCATGTAAGAAGACATTCCCAATCTCCTCCAAGGGAACCCCGGCAATGGAGAAAGGAATGTTCTTTAAAATCCTAAATTAAGTTCTAAAATTTATAAATGGTTTGAAATAAGAAGTGGATATTTTGAAAAAGTTATTGCCATGAATATCCTAAACTGAAAAGAATATCACTATGTGATAACCAACATGATGATATTTTACAAGTATTTTTCTACCTCTGCTTGCCCTCAAAATTTTCTGTATTATTTCTTTATAATTTAGGAAAACTTACTTATACTTTGAGGTAAAACTATACAAATGCTGTCAATAGGAGGCTAGCTTAACTAATGACCAGTATATTCTACCGAAATAAAAGGCCAGAAAAAGACACATTTAATTAGTCTGATGGACTGCAAATGATGGAAAGCAAAAGAATTGTGTAAATCTCATGAAGTAGGAAATCACCACCTCCAGAATTAGGAGTAATGGGACAGTAAACATTCTTTGCATCCACCACAAGAAAAGGACTCAAATGGTTTTCCTGTGCCAGCTCCCATTAAAATAGAGATTGGGAAAGGAATCTGGTTGGAGAATAATGTCGTGTGTAGGTTAGGGGCCTATTTATATAGGTATGAGGCTCAAATAGGGTCATCCATCTCTTTTAATATCAGATGGGACCAAACAAGGAAGAAAGCAATGACATTTTTCTGGATGTATCATCTGGCTTTAAGTATTCTATCAGGCAGCCTGGGATAGGCTGAACTAGAAGTAGGACCATCAATGCAAAAGTTCCCTAATGAGAGTACTCCTTACCCACCTCCCCCAATCATACATGTGGCAATGTGTAAAGACATTTTAAACTGTCAGCTATAAGCTTCCTCTGTAATCTAGTGGATGGAGGACAGGGATGTTGCTAAACATCCTAAAGTCCACACGACAGCTCCAACACAAAGAATTATCTGGCCCAAAATGTCAATAGTACCAAGGTTGAGAAAACTTGACTTGGTGATTATCCATGTGTAAAACTGACCGGCAGTTCAAAGTTAGGTACGCAATATATTAAGTTCAATGAGATTGTTTTTAGAGGTCAAAGACAAATAAAAACTAACTGGGCTATAGTTTATTCTTGATTTATTTGTTATTTCTATGTTCAAGTATATCATAAAGAAATCCATGCTTAATTCATTTTGTCATTTGAAAATTAAAAATATTGTTCTAAGACAACATTAAAAGCCTGATCTATAAAAATATTGATATAGGTTGTGCCTCATCAAGATTAAAACTTCTGTTCTTCAAAAGATCACCGACTGGAAGAAATATTTGCAAAACAAATATCTTACAAAGAACTTGGGGATAAGAAGTAGGGAGTAAGAAACTGCATACAGGCATCTAAAGCTCAGGAAAAAATAAAAGGCCAGTGATATATATTTGGGGGTAGTTAGTGTATATATGTTATATACAGCCTTGAGATCAATGATATCTCAAAATTGTGGACTGAAAGAGATACTGGAAGCTAGAAATCTAACAGGAAAAAAAGATGTCTCTCAGAAAGAGGTTATACAGCCGAAGCAGAAGCTTAGAGGAAGGAATGATTCAAAGAGACCGATTATTAGTGATTTCAAGATAGTCAGCATACAACAGATGCCCCTTATCTGTGGAGGATATGCTCCAAGAACACCAGTGGATGCTTAAAACCATGGATAGCAACAAACCCTGTATATACTATGTTTTTTTTTCCTATACGTACATGCTTGCGGAAAAGTTTAATTTATAAATATGGCACAATAAGAGATTAACAACAATGAATACTAATAAAATAGAACGTGTATAACACTGTATTATAATAAAAGTTACATAAATGTGGTCTCTATCCAAGAATCTAAATGTACTGTACTCATCCTTCTTGTGATGTGAGATGATAAGAGTATTATTAGGCTATGACTGACCTTCAAACAAAATACAGAAGGAGGGTCATCTGCTTCTTAACCGTAGTTGGCCATGGATAACAGAATCCACAGAAAGCAAAACTGCAGATAATAGGGGATTACTGTATTTCATTCATCTATTGCATCTTCAAGGACAGTATAGTGCCAGGAAATCAGAAGATCCCCAAAAATGACAGATGGCTAATGAGCAAGGCACGTGAAGGCAGCTAAGGGAAACTGTCTTTCATGGAAGGTGGGAGGCTGAAGGGAAAGATTCATAATAGTGAGTTTGCCTCAGAGACATCTGATCCTAAAACTGGGATAACCTTCTCCAGACTGTGAGATAATTTCTCTGAAACAGAAGCATAAAGAATTTTGCAGATGCCCTGGTTAGGAATAAGTAGGTGCCTTAGGTTCTAGACTCAGCTGCTGGGTGGGGTGGGGAGTGGTAACTACAGAGCCACCTGAAATTCTTTCTGGCATCAGAGAAGGTTGGGGAGTTTATTTGAAATGTAAAGACAAAATAGGTTGACAAAAGAGAGTGCCCAGGTCAACTAATGGGTCATGTGCCTTGCAGACATTTTTAAAGTCCTATGTTAGGATCTTTTCTTATTTAAAAAAAAAAATCCTTTTAGCCAACAACTTTAAATACTATGTGTTTTCAGTACTGTGACAGAAATATTGTGTAAAAACTAAATTTTAAGATGTTCTTTCAGTGCTGTGCCAGAGGTGCTGTGGAAGATATTAAAAAGAAAAAAAAAATGACTCTAAGTAACCACCAGAGAATCAGGAGTCAGCGTACATCCACATTTTGGAAGTAGTATTAAAGTTCACAGAAACAATGTTTTAATACTTCTTTAAATTATTTAGAAGCACGATTTTTTAAACACTTCCATGAGATTGCCCTGCTATACCTTAAACCAAATGTGTATGTGCTTATACATGGAAGGCATTAAAAAGTAGATTTTGGTCAAATTCACTGAAAGAGTAGATAGGTAAACATCAGGAGTTACTTTAACTGAGTGCCTGTTACGTGCTCAGCACTGTCATCTATGTTAACTCAGCTATTAAGTGGCAGCCTGTGGAAGTGTACACAGGCTGTAGGATCCACAACCATGCTTTCCCCCTCATCCCTGTTGTCTTAGCCCCAGAGCTCCTTCCCTTTCGCTCTGCATGTGTCAACTCAGATTGACTAATTTATATATTCACGCTCTTCCCTTTAAAGAAATGCTTAAAAAAAATAAAAAATAAGTCACCCTGACACATGACAATTTTGCAGAAGCACTGAAAGTTCTTTCAAGTGTGCTATGAGATAAATTATATACCAAAATAATGTACTGTCAGGTACATTTCTTTCTTGTCACTTGGATGGATTTAATAACGTAGTAGGTCCTTTCTACCACTAACTGATTGTTGGCATGGGATGTGACATTTTGTCTGGGTAAAATTATATCTCCTAGAGGGAATTTTCAATTGATAAAGTT